ATAAAATCTACTTTAATTACACGATTAACTGTGGCTTTTGTTTTCGGCAACTAATTCGAGTAAAAGTAACAAGTATAAAATAAAACAATGTTCCATAAGGCTATCCATTGATTCCTTGATTCAAACTATTATGCTTAACAAGTAGAACAAGTGTGTGGGTATGACTGCATCTGTGAATTTAGATGTGAATGAGATAGAAAAAAGAACAGTTTGTCAAGAAGCAGTTTTTTTTATCTTTTTTCCACTCCGTCAGGTGAATCATTTCAAAAAAAATATCATACGAGTAACTTGTAAATGGTAATGAATTAAATGTAAATCGTTCTGATACATTATCATGTTCTACTATTGCATATGTAACATTCAAAACAATAGAATTAACAACATATAATCATTCTTATATAATAATATATGTCTGTATCTATCTATGAAAATCAACATGGAAAAATTTTAATCAAAGTTTTCTATTACTAATAGAGTATGAATATAATTACTAGAATAGGAGATATAGATTTTGCTAAATCTTATCAAGTGGCATAAATATTCGAATAGAAGACTCAATAGATAAAGTATCGAATCTAATATATATCATTATCTATACTAGTCTAGTAGAATTATTTCGTTAAGGATATCAGTTTCAGATGTAAAGATTCAGATTTTCCATTACGCGAAAGCTAGAATGTTTAGTTGACTTTGAGTCTGTCGTATTTATTCACGAATGATTCCGAAGAACCACACAAACAAAGTATATATATTCATGAAGCATTGAAGAAAAGATTTCAGAAACTTAATGAAGAAAACAATAGACGTCTACACTGTAAAAGATATAGCAAGAAACTAAAAGCATCATGCGATGATTTTGTCGTTGCTTAAGAGATTGATTGAGGATGTTTGGAATTTATTATTACATGAAAAATGAATATAAGTTTATATTAAAATGGAAGCAGCCATGACTATCCGTAATAACATCTATGTAATATACAGATCATGGAAAGTAAGACAAGTAATTGAAAGAGTCACGCAATATTCTGTGCTGGCTTAAAAGATTCATCTAAGGATTTTTACTAGTAAATCTATTGATATCCTAGAAGGAAGGTCACAAATCAAGATGAAATGCTTTGGTTGAATTTTCATTAGACTACTAGAGTTTTCATAAAGAAGATATAAGAGGCAAGGTAGATAGATGAGGTCGTTTAGTTATAAAAGCCATGATGGTACCGGGCTGCATACTACTCGCCACTAGGAAAACGCCCTAAGTGTATGTCGGAGTCGATGTTTCCAGGATTACGCAACATGAAGGATATGGGTGAGTATGAACGTCGGTATGGCTGAAAATTAAGCTCACAATCACATTCTCTTCATTTGAAATAGGTCTTTATTTATTTAAACTATTTAATTATTTTATTGGACTGATATTAATAACAATTTTCACCGACTATTTCCTTAATTATCTTTTCTAAGTCTAAATTATATTTCTGGATGATCATCTAAGTTTGAACTTGAGGAACGTTCTTCAAATATTACTAGTTATATGTCTGTATTAAAAACATGGATCTCCAAAGAAGCTCTCTTTCAATCAATAAAAATTGAACCATGTTGGATCAAATACTAAACGTTTAATATCTGTTAAAAGATATTCTTGTCTTATTTTATTCGGCACTACAAACTTCTCTCAAGCAATGTTTTACTAACTAAGAATCAGTTTTAAATAAGAAATTTTCAAAAAGAAAACTGTTTTTAATATTATAAATTAAGTATCCAATATCACTTAACATAAATCGCAGATAATCAGGCCTTTCATTATTCATCACAATCGCTTGTTACCGTGCAAACATATGAATACTTTCAGTAACTATTTACGAACATTTATTGTAGGAAAAAAAGTTCCTCTTAACTAATTTAGAAACCATAATAAAGTCAAGCAATATTAATTAAATCCTTTCATATCTATTGATAATCATAGAGGTCGAAAAGCAAAGCTCACTTAGAAATACCAATTTAGCAAGGCATAGTATACATATAAAACATCTAATTCAACTTACTTACGTTAGTGTTAATATGAGGTATGTCGTAGAAGTTCTGGAACTATTTCAAACTTTATCATTCTCACATTCAACAAAAGCACTCTTTGAAACTGTGACAGCTTAATGTACCTACCGAATAATGAATAATTACAAAGTTTTAGGTCTATAGATTTTTCAATGGATGCAAAATCATAAAAAACTAGCATGTACTATTGTTCAATGTTCTCGACGTTCTTGATTACTTTTTATGCAATAATACAACTGTTCGAGATAAAAAAAAGAATTATTATAAGTTATTAATGCTTGTTAATTTGATTACCATCCGTAATTTTTAATATCGTTTTTCAGTTGTTCAATATTAGTGTATTGCCATTCTCATAATTTTTCTTCTCATACACACGATAGATTTTTTTATAGGCTCAACTTCGAGTGGGTTGACAACGCAATTTGTTGAACTGATGCAATTGATAAAAATATATTCAACAGCATTCAAAGTCACCCACATACTTTGTGTATGATCGTGATCATCTTGAAAAATGACATTTCGCGAAACATCTAATTTTCAAGCTGCTTTTTGTGCTACACTAGTTCAAATAAATTTTACATATCTGTCATATATCGAATGCATTTTCTTAAGATGATCCCTATCCTATCGCCTGGTAAATTCTAACCACCATCTGTAAAAATTGTGTTGTTTTGGAAATTTATCCATTTTCGCTACGGAAAAATTGAACCGATAGTACATGACAATGTTGTTATCGATTCTCACTCGTAGTAAAAGCTAGAGACATCACACTTCGTAGCTATGTAGTAATAAGGGTGTATAACAATTCGTACAAATTTCTAAGAGCTTGCTTTTGTTGAATATGAGAATGATAAATTATAAAATTGTTCCAGAACTTCTGAAATACCCTTAATAATTCAACTCTTTAGCTAGAAATTATTATTCTAGGAAAAGAATGTTTTATGTAATAGAAATTTCGGTTTCAAGCGGAAAAGATTAAATATCAATGACTCATGGTCTTATGAAATCTGATCGTTTTCACTTGCATTTGGTCACACACAAGTTGTTTGTGTTATGTTAATCCGAATTCCATTCTAGCTCTTTTTCTGTTTTGATAGTTCTTTTCAGCAGCGAAACGAACGTGTATCATTTTTCAATAGATTACTTTTTAATTATTGAAGGTCTTTTTTTCATGAGAGAATCATTTGTTTACATAATTTTTTTGTTTCATTTTTGAATACACCACAATGTAATGAGAATTGCTTGTATTGAAATGATTAGAAAATAAAAATACATTTGTGTTGATAGATTCTGACATCAAAATCGAAATCCAAATGTTAGTTCAGATATTTTCATTGCGAGTATGGATGTGAATATTCTCCCTAGTCGCATCCAAAAGTTAGATCAATCCTTAACACTTCATGGTTGAACACAACTAAATGTAAACTCATTCTAGTGACGCGTCGAAATTATGAATGAGTAGGGCCTAGCCTTTTCCGTTCCAGACTTAGTCAGAGTAGAAAGTCTAATGCCAGAGATTGAAGAAGTTTCCGTTATTGACACAGCATTCAATGTGCTTCTGTTGCTTATGTACTGCGTTGAGGGTCATTTCACAGTATTTCAATGCACTCTCTCAACATTTATTAGTCAAGTATAGTTATTTCGTGAAGTCAAAGGAATTAGTTGAATTCTTTATATGTATCTTTCCAACTGTAGCCTAGACAAGTTCATCATTCTTCATGACTCAGGTTTCATTAGAGTAGTATCGTGTCTTGGTGAGAACTGGAACTGAAACTTGTTGGTATCGCAGCCAATTTATACAGATGATACATGAAAGAGAAATATCTAGACTTCCAAAATTTGAGATCTCAATAGAACCCCAAAAGATGAATTTTTCAGTTCTTCTTGTACCTTCTCATAGTATGAAAATTAAATTGTCTTATAAACTCTGGATTTTCTTGTTATGAGAGCGACCCGATGCACAATAAATTCTTTGTGGAGCATAGAGATACAACAAATCTTGAATAGATTTGGAATTTGGCACCAAATCTTTGAGATTTGGACTTGGATTTGGTTTCTGGATTTGGGTATGATTCAGATTTAGTTCATAGATGTGGATTTCATTTAGATTTGGATCTCAGAATTGCTTCTATTGCTTTGTTTGGCTTAGATTTGTGATTCAGGATTGGTGAGATACTTGGATTTGAGGAGATTTGGATTTGGACTGGGATTTTGATTTGGGTGTTGGATTTGAATTTGGACTTGGACTTGGGATTTGATTTCAATCTAGCATGACTCCAACTGTGCTGTCCTGTTACATTGAAACCAAATCTCAACCTCCAAATCCAAATCCTAGTCGAGAACAAACCCAAATCTTTTTGTATCAAATCCCAAGACCTTGGGTTTGTTGCACCTCTAGTGGAGCACGAAAAACGCAAAAACTACTCTTTGAGGCACAAATATCTTTTATCGTAGATTTGTAACATCTAAAAGTGATCTGGTTGATGCATCTTCTTTATTTATTCTTGCAAATCAATTATCGTCTAAACTACAGTACAAAACATCGATGTTGATGTTGAAGGCTTAGAAGTGTCATTGGATACGATTGGTATATACTTTTCGATTGCATCAAGAAAACGAATGTATGTGTCAATAGTCAGAAGTTTTTGTTGATCATCAGCTGCTACTTCAGCTTTAAACGTTTGAAACATCAAATCCCAATGTGCTTTGCATCTTTTATAGGTTTCATGAAGAAGACGTCCATTCATATTTCCCAGTACTGGCAGTAGACTATCGAGTTTTTCATTGATAAGAAATGATCGAACATGAGTTGTTGTCCATTGATTAATACAATGTGGATAGTTCCTAAAAATGAAATTCTTTTGCTATTTTATAATATATTCATTGTATTAGACCAGTTCAATATGACTCAGAGAAAAATATTAAATATTTCAAAAAGACAGCCTTTATCGAGATGTCGATTTTTTCCTGACATGCTTGAGTAAAAATTAGTTTTGAAACTTCTGCAACAAATCATTTTATTTAGAAGTATCTTGTATATTCTAAGTTATCCGAGACTTTTGTGAATGATGATATGCTTTTGAGTAGATCAAAAACTTGTCCCATGATTAATATTTGAAAAAACTCACTCGACTAGTAGATTTTGCTCATCTGACTTGACAGATGGGTTTATTGTTTTTGCATCTGAGCCGTGTGGAAGCGACTTCTTTGTTGACGGCGATTGCGTTTGATTAGTTCGATATCGAGCAATCTCATTTTTCAACTTTTCATAAGCAACATTGAATCCAAGTTTAGGAAAATCGATATAGATCTTTCCGCTGGCAATAATCCCCAGCCATCCATCTGGTCGATAACCTGACTTCATAATCAATGGAACTAAATAACATTGACGCTCAAAAGCATAATGAGCTTCGGATTGACAATAGGCACTCTGTTTATAAGCTTCTGACATGCATAAAAATACGAAGTCGGAATTTTCAATAGCAGTGGCCATTGCGACCATCGTTTGTCCATGCATTTGATCTCGATCAATCCACACTCGAAAGTTATCTTTGACGAGACAATCATGAATATGATAACACAAATCTTTGTCGCTATGTGAATAGCTCAACATAATATCATATTTCTCCAAAGTAACATTGAGCATTGTCGATATTCCATGTGATTTTGTGATGGCTGTTTCTTCTTTTTCCAATTTCCACAGGAGATTTTCAGCCACTCTCTGCAAATGTCGATTAGTAGATGAAGTAACTAACATTTTTAAGTTTGAGATGAATTGAGAATTGTTTTTGAGTTGGCATGCAGCATCATCATTAAAAGTTAGAGCAAGAAGAATTTCTAATGCTGTTAGCCGAACTTTGATAGGATCAAATTTCGTCTCAGTTACACAACGGAGAAGAAGAGGTAAGACTCCTTGTTTTGTCAATTCTTCTTTTATTTGATCATGCTGAACCAAGACTAAATAAGATGATCCAATAATTTTCTATAATCGCAATTGATCCTGCGAGCATCTTCATCAAAAGAATATGTAAAATAGTATCTAACATTAGAAAGTAGACGCCGTAGTATTTAAAAATGGCAGAATTAGTCTATGAAAAGTTTCTCGTTTTCTCTATTTAGTTTGCTATCTCTATTATCACAATCTTTACGCTTATATAAAGGACTTTATCTACTTGCATTAGAAAGAACTGAGCGCCGAAAATTTTACTCTTTAATAAGCTCATGTGAATATGGTTTTATTTTGTATTAGTTTCAAATAATCAACTGATGAGACTTTGTTTGAAATCTTTTTACTTCAAATTCTCATTTTGTTCTAGTGATTTTCGTGGAAAAAAATCAAAATCTAATTTACCTTTGAGACTACGAAGTAAATTATGAAATCGTGGTGTCATGCTGGAATCATCGATTAGATTAATAAGAAATCCGAGAAAGACATTAGCGATTTTAGTCGAATTCGTCAATGTTTTTAGATCTTCTTCGGTCATAATTGAAGCCAATATACGATAAACATGAAATTGTATTGTTTCATCTTCAATATTAGTTAATTTTAACAACAATGGGATCATGTGTTTACTTTTGATATATGCTCGTAAATCATTTGTCATCGTTAAAGAATACAAATTTTGGGCAAGAACTCTTATTAACGTTTTTGTTATGTCATCAATTGTTTCAGACTCCATTATTCTATTTAATATGGAAGATATTTGATCGATCATTTTGCAATAATCTTCACGAATTGGTTGAGGAAAAATTTCTTCATCGCTAGCATTTCCTCCAATCAATGTAATACAAAGTTGGCCAATAACTTTAATTGCCACTCTGCTCAATTTATGAAAAGAAAGTAATTGATTTTGAAACCAACAAGTAAAAGTATTTAATAGAGCTGTTCTAACAGCTACACAAGTGGCATTATAACGGCCAGCATCATGCATAGAGATGTAATTCGTACAAGTATCGAGTAAAAGTGTTTGTCCTTCATTGAGTTTCTCGAGTTCAGCTATTTGTTGAAACATGGACACGAAATAACTTGAACATACGCAATTGACAATACTATCGAGTAGTTCAGATAACATTGCTATTTTCTGAATATCTGTTCGACCTTTCTCAAGATAATGAATAGCTCGAAGAGTATAATCAATTGCTTCTATTTGTTGATCCTGCAAATGTTTACCATTTGTAGTGATGTCCTTGAGACATGCACGAATTTCATTAATGAAAGTTTCATAAATTAAGAGTTGTTTCAAATGATCAACATCAGCATCGACAGCATGTAAGCACATTTCAGCAAAAAGAATAGCTATTTGAGTGAAAACTTGACTTGATATTGGGTCAAGTGCTTGGCCAGTTCGCCAACGATGCAGAATATCAAGATAATAATCACGAATGATAAAAAAGAGTTGATGATTAAGAAGTTTCGCTTCGTAGAATGCTCGATCAGTTTTCAATCGAAGTGAAATAGATGAAACAATTTGTTGCATTGTTGCAACATCACTCTTTACTTTATCTTGATTCAGTTCGATGAC